CTGCTTCACACAACGCAAGTAATCGAGTGTAACAAAATCTAAGAAAAAAGCGGCAGCAACAACAGCAATGGGTGCAAACACCTACATTTTTGACATTGACGGTAAATTATTAACGTTTCAGTTTGGCAGCGAGTTGTGGCTACGAATTTCATTTGATTTCAGACGCCTCGTCATTGTCTTTGATGAATTGACTTGCCATTTTGGTGGCATCATTCAGATTTAAATATCAGCAAGTGGTTTTTCTTCGACTGAACATTTTAAAATTACAATAAAGTAATCGTCAAACTTTAAAAACACCTAACCAAAATATAAACGAGTGAATTAATCAAATGATCAACATTTTAATGAACAATGTTGATACCATTCATGTATAATTGTTCCTTGCTGAATAAATCTGTTTTTATTTTGATAAACATTGAATGCATACCGTATGTCTTAAGTCACTGGAAAAAAAAACAATGAATGAATATAGGATTTTACCGTAATTAAATTTGAACCCAAGCAATATAATATAAATCTAATGAAAATAGTACGCGATTGACATCAGATCTGGTTTCACATAATTTTCTTTGAATTTTTCATATTCATGGGTCAGTATAAAAAGGTGTTCTTTTTATTAGCTGTTTTTTCCCTCTGTTTTATCCGAAAAGACAATGTAATGATTTTGGTGACATTTTTCTTCTCATATTGTTTAACAGCCACTCAAAAAAAAAACGTTTTCATTTTATGCGAAATTAAAGTGAACAGCGCCAAAAAGCAGCATTAATATGCACTTGTTTAATGTAGTCGCTGTAATTATCCATGTAAAGAATGTGATGAAAGATCGAACATGATGTGTCGTGTACTTTTCGACGCGACACAAAATGAAAAGATGCAGAGTAAAAAAAAGAGCCCGTACACGCATCGCAAATCGATCGACAAAATGCACAAAAATGAGAACAAGTAAAACGATGAGACGAGCGAGAGAAGAGACAACAACAAAAAAACGCTGTGAAAGAAATTTCACGTATAATTTAACAGATTGCATTGAATGCCAATGGTGATGGCAGGTAGTGAACGTTTTTGGTCATATCGTGCGTGCGTGTTGTATATATATATATATGTGTGTGTCTCGTCGTCTTCACCTGAACTTAGTCTGCAGTAATTGGTATTCGTTTGGCGCATAAGTGTCAATATTTAATGGGAATAATTCGATGTAAAGCCTTTTAATAATATCCATTAGCATTGCATTGCGATCGCGAAATAAATTCGTCGGGTTTTTGTGCGCCTCGTCATTTGGCCAATCAAGTGCAAAAGTTATCAAGATATGTTTTACAATACACACGGAAAATACACAACGAACCTGTATTATTCGTTTTCAATCAGTAATATCAACGCATTTTCTTACAATTCTTGTTTATCATTTTGTTTCCCATTTTCTTTGTTTAAAGAGACCAATTTTTTCTCTCTCTCTCTCTCTCTCTCTCTCATTTGTTTGATGACAATTCCAGTGAGAAAAAAAAGAGCAACCAATGTTCATCTTTGCTATTGGCATACATGCTAGTGACCAACGGAATTTAATTAGAAACACTATCTGAATGTTTTACGATATTTCGTTCAATTCGCATAACATGGATGAATAAATTTCCATTGGAAAAATGAATGATTTGATTTTTCTTTGAAATTCCATTTAAAAAGTAGGATATTTTGATATTTTCGCCCACCAAATGCAATTGATTCCTGTAAAAATATGTTTTTCAATTTGTGCGTAACACAATGTAAGCCGTCGCCGTTACCACTTTTTCGTAGACTTAATGTCTGCTTTTGATTATAGAAATCATATATTGAAAGCAAGTAGCGAGATCGTACCATATAATCTATGATGAGATTCTGCAGAATAACAAAGTGCATGAGATGAGTCAGAGACAAGAAAAACGATCACATAATGGAAAAGAACAACGTAATTGATCGCCGAAGATTGTTGAAAGAATATTGCACAGAGTTCTTTTTTTGTGATTTCCCACCGTGTCTATACCATATTGCTTGAAACTGTTCACTGTCGAGCGCATATTTTAGCGTAAATCAAATAAAAAACGATTTCACTACACTATATCAATCGTTGAATCTTAGAAATTGCAATATGTATTAGTATGTAGCATTCTAACTGCTATGCGTTGTCTATGGATCTAACGACTCGAACGAGTATTGGAAAAACTATTTATAATTTTGTTTTCAAACGCATCAAACTTACAACGACGGTACATCATTACAACAACGTCAAAAACAATACGCACACGAAGAGAGCAACCGAGAATAAAACCCCCGGTACCATTCAGTCTGAAAACATATGCGAATCATTTTACCTAATCGCTGAAAGTGGTTAAAACTTGTTTATGTACATCACATTCAATTCAATTTGATTCACAGTTGCTGCATTTATTTGATCGATTATTTTGGAATTTAAAACACAAAAACGACAAATATGAAAAAATAAATAAAACGGAGGGTATCAATATCAAGTGATTTTTCCAAATAAAAAAAAATATATCAGTATCGAATTAATAATGTATAAATTATAGTTTTAAAATATTGAATTCGAACGTTTGTCACAAAAATTAAATGTGATACAAACATATGTTTTTCCATTTTTATTAATTTAACTTAAATGTGTCAATATTTGAGCATAAAACGAGCAAATATTATTAGAAAAAAAATCCATTTCAGTTGTAATTTACAATTGAATTATAAAAAGGTGTATTTCTCGTCATTGCAAATGCAATCGTGTTGTCCTTTGAAATAATGTTTTTTTTTTTTAAATTCGCTTCGAAAATCCGTATATGGTAAAAATGTTTGCAATATTGCAAGATGAAAAAAAATGCAGTTTGTATCCATTTTTAAAGATCTATAGAACAAATGTCACTATTCGTTGTGAAATATTGAACTAAGCTCAACAGAAATCATATTCCTTGGAGAAGTTCGAGAAACCACATGGTTACTGCTCCATGAATTTTAAATTGCAATACAAAAAAAAATAAGCATTTGAGAACGTGAATTTATTTAATCGATGCACAGATAAAACATCTCGCTCTCAATCACATCATATTTCTGCGTTTGAACCACCTCGACAGAAAAATCAATATACTCGATTTCAGTACAATAGTGATAATTGCAGCAAATTATGAACTCTCAAAAATCCACCACTTTTATATAAACGATACGGAGACCACTGAGAAAAAAAGACACAAAAAAAAAAGAATGCGCAACGCTGAACGTCAGCAGAAACAAAAATTAATCCACACCGATTTGTTGCCGATGCTGAGGAAAAACGCAAAATGACGCGTTTCACGTGATATATTTATGGTGATATCCAGTTTTTTCCCAATCTACAGCCTATTTAGTATGCGTCTTGCGTTCATTTACTGCACATCATCACACAGGTTCAGCTCAGTTAAAAACCATCATTGAAACCAGTAATGCACGTCTGTATCGCATCATTTTGCACAACTGCATTTGCAATTTGTATTGAGAGACTCTTTTTTTTTAGATGACTGCGTAAGCTCACGTTTGGTTGTAATGCTGCTGCCTCAGCACATTCCCAACGTTATGTATTTTGTGCATTACATTCCGAGGATTCTAATGAAATAGTCGTCGTCACATTTCTCGCCGTTTTTTTCATGTTGTTTACTTCTCTTTTCGACTATTCAACGCAATCGTCTCAATTTCAATGAGAAAAATAAAATGAACTCGATGAATTGTGGATTATGTCCAATTGGATAGAACATCATCAGCATTTGTTTTTATCAATATATTAAAAATTAATTAAAATTTGATATGAAATCAAAAGGCCATCAATACCGTTGACATTGAGTTTAATTTTCAATTTCAATAGTGTGTAGATTGGTTGTGCTTTGTTGGAAATCAATCAACGAGTAGAAGACTCAATTCTTAATGTTGAGGGAAAAATGTTGAAGAAGAAAAAAACACACACACACACAACATAGAGAAGTGTAGAAAAAAATTGAAATGTTCTTTGAAACTCCGTGATGTCTGGCGTGCCAAGTACAAATCATGTTATGGTTTGCAATACGATGCAGCGTGCAATGCGCTATACTTGTTGACATTGAAAATATGTTTTATGTTTGGCTATGGATTCACAGTAAGTTTGCGTTACCATATTCTAATGCAAATGCTTATAAAAAGTAAGAAGCGCGATTCGCCGAAGTAAAATTGTATTGTTTGGCCAGCTCAGTATGCCATGTATCTCATCTTCTCTGTCTCTCTTCTTTTGTGTGTGTGTGTGTGTCTTTTTTTGTTAACAACATTGATCGAAATGTGCACGATCGTTCATCGATTGCAGTGAACGGCAATTTTCTTCCCTTTTGAGTAAATGACGGATGTTTAGAGTCGGGCGTTTATTACTTCAGTAGACAATGAAGAGACATGTTCAAAACGCACAGTCCAACACAAAAAAAAAAACAAAACAAAACACTAAGAACAAGAATAAAAAGATGCATTTCTTTCCCATACCCATATCGAGTTAGTGGCCTCGTCAACAAATGTGAATCATATTATTATGGCAATAGCGACATTTGTTTCTTTCTCTTCACTTGTTGTTGTCCATATTTGATTTTTGGTATGTCACAATGCACTGGCCACGAACAAAAACAAAATGATGTAGACAGTATTCCAAGTCCCAGGTGCTGAGAGTATCAGTCGATATGTATGGTGACAAAGTTCTAAACAATATGAGCTAAACTAACAGCGAACAAAAAAAAAAAAGTAAAATAAACATGGAATATTTATATCAACTGATCAAGATGGAATTCTCCATTGAAAGGTGGCCGGAAAATTGAACGTTGCATGAAATAGTTTCAAGGCTATTTTCCCATTACGATTTTAATTAAATTGTTGAATATTCATTTGTATTATGGTTGTTGGAATTATTTAGTTTGAAGCTTATGTGATAATTGGATGATAATTTTTCTTTATTTTTCTCATTTTTCTTTTTGTTTCAATTTCAGGATGACCGTTCGCCTTTGTCGTCAGGTGAATCGAGCGATGAATCGTCAAGTGTTGAAGTGGCCGGTCCAAGTCATCATATTCAAGAGCAAATTGGACGACGTCAAAGACATCCACCACATCAATCCACACCGGTCACAAAGAAACAAGAGTCACCCCAACAACAATCACAGCAAATTCAAGTTCGTGACGAACTGGGCAAAGCGTTCGCAAATAATAGCAATCTGAATAGTCTTCTTTATCCGCAAGCTTTAGTCAGTCTACCGCAAGAAGTGCTCATGAATCTGGTTCAAAGTGGTCATCTACAGGTCGGAGAAGAAGGTAGTCGCTTTTATTTATTTTTTTATTTGTTTTCTTCACTTTTCGATAAATTTTCGATTTCGATTTCATACTCAAATCCAACCTGATTCATTCAATTGACCTTACCATTTTTGTTAAATGCAACAACAATGATTCGAGATTGTTTTACACATAAAGGCGTTATGTCCATTCATTTGTTCGCCATTCGAATGCATTCATTCAGTGAATTTTACATATTTGATACGCTTTTCTCTCTGTGTGTCTCTCTCTCTCTCAATTGTGCGGCGCGAACAACGCTGTTTTTGGTGCGTTAGTCCAAAAACTGAAACAAATGTATATTATGAAAAATAAGCCGTGCCAACGATAAGTGAGCCGTCTCCGTCGCCGGTGCCGTTTTTGGTTCATCCATAAACGAGATGCACTCGGTTATCGTTGTTGTTGTTGTTATTATTATTGTCATCGTCGTCGTTGTCAATGTCTTACTGATTTCCTTATTTTTACTGTACTACGGTTTTCTTTAATATGCCGATGAAAGTTGGCAGTATGCGGCGACACAATCTATTTCTTTGGTGATTGATTCCAATTTCGGATTTGTATGAATGAAATAGTAAAATTGAATCGCTAGCATCACGAGAATGTGAGAGAAAAAAAACACAAACACCCAACAAAACAATATTGACGATGGCAATACATATACAGAATAAGGATAGTAGAATTTTTTGAAAAATGTTAAAAATTTGTCGGTCAATTCATGAACGTTTTTGGTGGTTGCAATGAAAGAAAAATGCAAGTGAAACATGAAAACTGTGAACCTGCGTACGCAGCAAATGATTTCATTTGTGTTTTACCAAGTCTTATTGACACAGTGGTTTACTTATTTATGAGCACGTAAGAGTGCAAAATAACATCAAAAATCGAAAATTATTCAACTTTAAATGGTCACTGCATTTTTGGCTTATTATTTTATTTTTGATTTTTGTTTCTCTAGAAAATGGACGCCAATTTATATCAATACCACAAATGTCGAGGTAAGACCATTTATTATTATCATATTAGCTAGTTTTTTTTAAAACTAAATGTATGTCTTGTATATTTCGTTGCAAAACAGTAATTCAAGCGAAGGTGGAGGAACGTCAAGTGGCAGCTCCAGCAATAGGAACAGTAATCATAACAACTCTAAAAAGTCGGGGACCTGAAAATTGCTTATCCGAACAATTGAATCTTATAATGCATATGTATTGATTATGAACAATGCTGTTTCATCATTTGAATTGAGTCTCTTCTCTCTCGTCATGGGATTGGCTCAAAATGCTTTCTTAAGTTTTTTCTCGTTCGCCCAAAAAGTTTCAATTAACCATTTCTATTTTCTCACCCAAATGTATATAAGTCAAGTTATATCATGACATTTAATTTGGAATGCATGTCATTTCAATGGAGTCCTCTGTGAAATAGGAATAAATTCAATCGCCAAATCTCTATAACATTATCGAATTTCAATTGTTCAGAGCTTAATTTAGTCGTTTTTATTTTCTTTGGATAGCTCTGCAAATAACTGTTGTCTTTTGGGTTGTCTTACTCAAATCGTCGTTCGATTAGATACTAACCAATATTTTTTTTAAATACCGAAACATTTTCCCGAAAACACTTTTTCCCAGAATGCAGAAAATCTTTTTGGAAAAATTCCCGTTCGATCGGGAAAAAAGTATTTTCGGAAAATGTTCTGGCATTCCAACAATTTATTGTTAGAATTGTTATTCAAACAAACAAAAAAGAAGTTCATTTGAAATGACCAAATTAATAATTCGAATAATAATAATAAAAAAGAAATTTTTTTGAATCGACCAAAAATGAACTTTTTAGAATATTCATTATTTTTTATAAGTAGTAAACACGCCGAAATTGTCTTTCGTTTGTTGGTGTGATTTGCCGACGAATGTTTGATAGAATTTTTTTTGCCATAAATATGCCCATTGGACAGTGAAGTATGGCCCAACCGGCTAAGCCTATGAAGAGACAAAATGCGAATTCCCCTCATCTGTGCCATCTTGTATTCCATAGTTGAACTCAATTTAGTTACAATGAATTGAATCGAAAAAGAGAAAAAAAACAACAACAATAGCACGGCCACACAGAGCTGTACATCTATGCGTGCTGATGCATACATACACATATACGCTTTCTTCATTCTTTCATTCCATTGCTATACGTATCTCACTGGTCAACAGATCTATGTAGCCATGTTACTGTTGTTGTTTTTTCACTTTTTCATTTCAATGCTACAGAATTAAATTCAGTTTTTGCATCTAATTCACACTAAAACCAGATGGCGCTCATTAGCGAGATTCGCAAAAAAAAGTCTCCAATCTCATACAAATATACACCGGCTGGTATGGCCAAACATTCATTTCATTTTTAGTCCGATCCATTCAATTTTCTCCCATAACCGTTCATTTTCCGTTGAATCATCTGTAAATTTTGTTCGTGTTTGTTATTGAACGAAACTCATGAGTCATTTTGAAGTGAATGTCTCGAATTGATGCATAAATGAAATATGTGAATTTAGATTTTAAAGCAAAATAAATTATATAATCTATCGAAAATTTGATGAAAAAGAAGAATATATAAATCATATTTTTAATGAAATAAAAATAATATTCATTCAAAATTAAATGCAATTGCCAATTTTTTGTCGTTGTTGTTATTGTTTACTCTTATTGCATAGTGAAAACTTCATCGAATGGTAAGTGTTCGGGATGTGTGTGTTGTAGGCTTGTCGGCTTACATTTCTCTATGGTATTTTTTTTTATTTTAATTAGAGTCGTACGTTATTTTGAGACAATTTGAAAATAATTTGAGGTTTTGACTCAAAACTTTTGAAGTGAAAATCCACAAAAATGACAAATAATGGCATTGAAAATTCAAATTATTGTATTTAAAATATATCAAAGAGAAACGAAATGCAACCATCCTGGTGATGTTGCTTTCTTCTTGGTTCGAAATGACGCAAAGATTGAACATGATGAACAATGATTGCGAATGAATGAACAATAACTTGTGGTCAAAATCGGAAGTTCCGGAGCATTCATGTCTTTCATTCTAAACCAAAGTTCAGACAGCGCGTGGTGAATAATTTACCAAGTGTATTTGATTGTTTATATTTGGAAATGAGCAAAATCAACATGCAGCTATATTATTAATTTGTATGCACAAAACGGAAGCTATCGACGCATTTACAATATACAATTTATATTATATTCACGTACTTTATATGCCATAAACATTATTTATATATGAGCAGTGAATGTTCTTGTGTACATTTTGATAACCATTCACAATCTATAGCAGCGAATCAAACAGACCATTTCACTAAATCAATTTATGCTGACTAATCACGTATTTTCATCATTTAACTATCATTATGTTCGATTAATTCACATAAAAGACATCTTCAATTTTATCTATCTGTTGCTTATGTTCAAAAATTACACATTAAACGATCACGACTTATTCCGAAATCTTCATATCATTCCCAAATGTAAATCATCATTGGTTATTGCGGTGTATGGACTATGGTGAAAACACGGTAAAGTACACACTGAACAATATGTTAATAAAATGAGAACACAAACAATAAGTACTTACGCAAATTATATCAATCGAAGTGTATGATTATATGTCGGTTGTAAAATATAAAAAAAAATATCCATCGAATATTTGAATAGCGGTTTAGAAACGCAGCATAAATGCCGACGCAATATATGAATATGCATGCAGAAGAAAAAAACCGCATCCAAATACGGGCACAATCAACATATAATTATTCTAAAATTATAAACAAAAGTCACTTTTATGGTTATCGGCCCGAACACTATGCTCTGCTCTTATATTTCATAATAATTCGAATCGTTAATTCGCATCAAAAAGACATTGATGCGGTTGAATCTATTTTATATTTCGTTAGACCATAGTGAATTGTGGTGCGGTGATGATGATCACACATTTAGTTGAACACTAGTCAGCGAGAGAGAGAGAGAGAGAGAAGAACACGCGAGAATAAAGAAGAAAATGTTTAAACAGGAGAATAGTGTACAGCATTTAATGAGCACGGATTCAAAATAATTTATAGTTTGTGAGAAACAGATGAAAAGACTCTCTGGTCCAAAGTTTCGTGATTCACGATTTTCTTTCAACAACAATGCATCAACGTCTATGCCATTCGAATTCAATCCATATAAAAAAAACGGTCAACTAAACGATAGAAAATGAGATCATCAAAGTTAAAATTGAGATCTCTTACCGAAATTTTCCAATTTTTTCAAAGCACAATTATAAATCGTTGTTGTTTTTTTAGAATAAATTTATTCATTTTCAAGATTATACATTTTAGTTCACTAGTCATTTACAATTTCATAAATATTTTTTGCATTTTAATTTTTGTTTTTTTGCAAAAGAAATCTTTACTAAATCCATTTATATATAATTCAATTTCGTTCAATACAATAAGTATTATAAATCACTTTTTTCATTCATTTTCTTTTGTATTAAATGTTTTATTTTTTATTGTTATAATTTTCATTTTTTTTATCTATTTTGTGATTTTAACAAAAACATACAAAAAGGTAAATTAACATGTATATCTTCAATTCTATCTCTTTCGATATCCTTGCAATGGTAACCAAATGGTCATTGTATGGAAAACATTGCATTTCTGCCAAATGGTATGCAATTCAAATATATCTCTAATCTAACATAGAGATGTGTGTATTATGTTATATTCGTACATTGAGTATAATTTCAAATCGTTCAAAATCATAAAAGAATTGATTTTTTCTTCAAATTTTGAACGATAGAACACATGAAGGAGAATAGAAATGAAGTAAATCAAAAAAATTGGGGAAATCCAATGTGATTTTATTATTATGAAATTGGTCTCCGGGCAAATAATTTTGAATCGAAATTATTTTCTTATCAGATGAGATCATACGGAAAATTTCCATCGCTCATTTGATTTGAGTAAATGATAAGAACATATGAATAAAAAAATATAACTGTTTATCTAAAGTAATGTTGTCACCAAAATGTATTTTTTTTTCTTCTTTTCATTCATTCTTTATTAAATTTTATCATCCAACAACAACCAATTACAAAAATATCCGGTTGTGTTTGTAGTCGGTGAAAATTTTCGTTGCATTTCTGTACTAATAATAGTAAAATAGTGTTGCGACTATACTGATGAAATTGAGCAGATAAATGAAAACAGGAGAAAAACACAATGAGTTTTTGGCACATACGAAATATGAATGTTGTGAGTGGATGATTTTCAGTGAAGATAAGATGCCAATTCACTATCAGTGGGATTTAAATTGGTTCCATAAAAATAGAATTTTTTTTCCAAATGCATGTCGTTTGTTTTCATATCTCACTTTTAAATAAACAAAAAGTCTTTAATACCTTTACTTCAAAACATGAAGTGTTTCCATCCGTTTCTTTTTTGATTTAGTTGCGGATGTTCATTTGTGTGTGATTCTTTCTATTTGAAAAAATATTTATTTGACATATAACTGAAGCCAGGTTTAAAAAAACTTGAGATGCATTTGGCTTACTTTGCTGCACATTTTCTCGATATAGTATTTGGATGATTTTTTTTTGTTTGGAATACATTGCTTGAAATGCTGTGGCCCAATGCTTTGTGGCAACAAATTGCGCATCGTATTCGAATTCGAGGCAAAAAGGTGTTCATTGGACACCTGATAGGTACCAAAATAAAAAACAATTTTTTTAAGGTCATGAAAGTACGTTAAAATGAATCGATGCGTTCATAAATATTTTTTTTGTATACAACGTGTAACTAACTGGAGGTGTATACTCCACGTGTCTGATATCAATAAGTTTTTTTTTGTCGTAGTTTTGAAAAACGATAAAATCTATGTTCCACAAATTGTCCATGAATTTTTATTATTATAACCCTATTGATTTTTCCAATTTAATTTCGGCAATTCGAAAAGTCTAACCGACTCGAAATTTGTTCAACGTTTTATAAATTGCGGACATGCAATTGGAACAGTCAATAAGATAAACAATGTTGTTTCATTTGATTTCTTCAATAAGTTTGTTTTCACTGTCATTATGTTTTTTTTCATATTCATTATTTTGGTTCTGTTGAAGTGTTTGACGGCAACGGCAAAGGCGATAATGACGACATTTATTTAACTTCGGTTACATCCACACAAATAAAATTAGTTTTTCGTTGATATATTTCAATTTGAATCTCTAATGCTGACACGCTTTGTTTTAAATATTAACATGGAATATTGTCTATTGCAAATCCGAATTTGTATGTGTGCGTTTATTGGCCTTCAATTTCTATGTTTTCATCGATTATGTCAAATCGATATTTCAGCATTGATGACTTTTCTGTAAATGATGCATAAATTCATAATGAAGTATTAAAAATCGATTAGATATTTTAATTACTTATGAAATCATATTAAATTTGTTCGTCAATTAAAATCGAAATGTGTTGGTATCTAGAGCATAGCATAAAAGCTTTCCAAACGACAATTGTTTTTATTGATTAATCAGTTAGTGGTGAATCGTCAAATCGACGGTCAAAATGCGTTCATAGTTTTTTTTTTCTTCATATTAACAAGATTTAAAGATAAACAAATGAACAATCAACAACTATTCGAGGTAAAAAAAATCTCGGCCTTCACACTGACACGTTGGAATATGAAAAAGTTTGTTGCATGCTATTTCGGCAGCTTTAATCGTACTGGAAAATGTTCTTCTATAAACGGACACATACAATTGGTTTAAAAGCATACCTCCTTTCCATGGGTGACAGCCTTAACCAAAAAAAAAATAAGCTTATATATGATTTCGTCATTTATATCAGACATATTTGTATTAACTATGATATTTCTAATGTGATTTTATATCTAACCAATGGACTGTCAGCCATCTTAAGAGCTTCTCTATGTAAAATGATAAAAAAATAAAAAAATATTCCATTGAGCTCGATAGATTAAGTCGTCACGTTTAGTTTTTTCGTTATAAAATTTTGAAGCGGTAACATTTTGCTAAATTTCGCACATACACTTACATTTTTGCTTCTTGATTCAACACATAGTTTTGCTTGCTTAAGCTATTGCTTGTTGCGAATTTTCCATTGTCAATGACTAGATTGCGTTTGATTGCACAATGCGTTCATTCGACTTCATTTCAAATCAAAATCAAACGAAATAAATGGTTCATTTCAATGTAAATATGAAGACAGAAAATATAGAGACTCTGTGTGTGTGTGTGGGTTGTGTTTTGCGCAAATTGGTTTTCATATTGTGGTCGGCGGAAATGTTTTGTGTTCAATATATTGAGTGATACGAAATGCGGCTCCATTATTATTATTAGTATTATTATTATTGTTATCTCTATTTATTTTCTTTCATATAATTTTCTGAGAATCTCAATTTCAATCGTATTTTTCGGCGGGCTGACATTGTTGCGCTGATATATATTTTGTGTGCCAAAATGAAATTGCCGTTAATAATGAAAAATTCGAAATACACGTTAACTTGAATCACAACAATTTGATCATTTCCATTCTTACATGTCGTTTTCAAAAAAACGACTTCGTTTTTTTTTGGATGAAAGAATAATATTTACATCAACCTACACATTTTTGTAATCGGTTAATTTGTGCGATTGACCGTGTTAGTGCCCAAAATGAGTTGGTGCTCATTTGTCTATATATCATAGCACCGTTATTAGGCCAGTTTATTAGCACATCAACTTCCATCGAATTAATTCAACGAAAGTGTTGCCAAATGTTTGAAATAACCGAATCAATATTGAATCTAAGAAAGTTAAATTTTCTATTTTGTTTTCATTCCTGATGCTTTCAATCCCATTAAAATGTGTTGAATGTGTGTGTGTGTGTGTATGTGATTGAGACACATTTTGACATTATGCGAAAGGTGTTGGTTATTCTTTGATTGGTGCTTACTGTATACATAAATATATGTTCATGTCATTCATCATTTGATGCGATTTTATATGAATGATTTTTCATTATTTGTTAGTTATTCACATGTTTGTGTTTTTTTGTTTGTTTGTTTGTTTGTCACAAAATAAACTGTACTAAATGTTCTGTTTGTTTTCAATAATAATTAGTTTTGTAACATCTATTGCCATTTATAAGTAAATAGTTGGTAGTACGTTTAATTTTGTTAAAGATTTATTATTTTGTTGTTAAACGGACTACGGTTATTGTTTTTCTCAAATTGTTGTTGTTTTTTGCTTTGAATTTTCATCGTATAAATTTCCTAAATTTGTGTTCTTCTCGTTTTGTTTGGTATGAACGTTAAACATATTTAGATGTGTGTTGTGTGCGTGTGTTTACGGTAAGTAAGGTCGAATGAAAGTGCTTGACAAAGTTTTATCGCTTACGTCGAACCCAAAGAATCCACGGTTTTTCATTTGTCTATGTTTAAGGAACCGAAATAATTTCATTGTACGTAATTTATGGTGAACAAGTTTTATTGAATTTCATTCGTTGAAAATTTCGAAACCACAATTAATAACATCTTAGTCGAATGGATTGGTCTGCAAATGATCGAAATTGTTTCAATCCGAAAACAAATAAATAAAACTATACCAATAATAAATTTGTGTACGCATAAATATTTAATTTTTTTAGTACCAGATGAATGTTAAGCATTAACATTTAAAGTGCCATACACAGAGAATACCGTCAAATGGACCTATCCGCTTAGATGTATCCCACATTGTAGTCCTATTTGTCACAAAATCAAATTATACCAATGCTCTAAAATTTAACTGATATATTCATTGCATGGATCTATCGAAGCGTATAGATTCGTCTTACGTTGCTCATGCTCATGCAAATTATGTTGACGTTGCTCTCTGTTTCTGTATTCATACAATTCGATTTTGCCTCTTGATTATATGAGGATACACGCATATTCTCCACATAATTATCAAATAACATTAGTTTTAACATAAGATAGTGTTCCCACAATAATATACATTTATCACCAACAGGGTATTCCCGATGCGTAAAAACATCTCCTTAACATTTTATGTGCTTCGAATTTTTTTTCTCGTCTTCCTCACATTACGGAAAATGAGTATGGCATGTGATTTGTTACTGCTGTTTTTCCTTAGTTATTTCTTTTCTGTTCAAGTTCAGTCATCCTTTTGCTACATTTGCCAATGTACGAATAAAAATGATTCATCATGTAAGTCAAGGTGTCAAGGGAGCACTGGGATTTGTTGTGCCTGTCGCTTGTGTTGTCTTGAGATTCTCTCTCGATTTTAAATATTCATAGTTTTGGGATGTGTTTTTTTTTTGTTTTGTTTTGTTTTGTTCTGTATTATACATATATAAATTTCTTAACATTTAGTATTCACTTAATAAAAATTCTTCTTTACTAATAAACATTTATTAAAGCAATCATTTGTCGGATATACAATTTTACATTTGCACTTTTTGTTTTATTAAACGTGCTGGTGTATTAATGGTATCCACTCTACTCCACTCACTAAGTATTAAACATTTTGAATCGGGTATTTTGCGTCTTTTGCTTTCTTTTGCTATCAAGTTCTAAGCGAAGAAACGTCTCCACCTTAAAACAAAACAAATCCATATGCCTACGGTCGCAATAATAAACATTCAGTACGCACACGCTTTCAGTGGAATTTCTCTCTTATTTATATATATTTATTGCTAAACGTATATTCAATATCGAAATATCTTGAGAGTTTTATCATTTCATTTTTTTTGTTTGTTTGTTTAAACATTGATTCAAAATTCAATTTAAATCGCTTTATAACTTGTTATAAATAGTTTTCATTGAAATTCGTCTATTCAATTGCTAAATCTATATGCCATTAAACATTTTCTATCGTCACAAATAGTGTTCGTTTTGTCATTGCTTACTATGTCGGAGACCATTCAATTATCGTACTTGAATGCAATTATGAAAACCATAGTTTTACGTCCTAAAATTACATATATATTTTTTTTTCATACGCCGTATAAAAATGATTTCCACACTGCATTGAAACGGTCTTTTTCTTTATGGCGAATAGGATGAATGTCTTAAATTGTATTGAAAAAAAAGTCACCTTTCTATTGTGCAGGAAAAATTATTGTGAAGTATGTAAAAACAGCATGTTTTTTTTGTTTTGTTTTACTCGCACCATGTAAATATTGATTCACGCCGTGGTGTAATTGTTGTAAATTGGCGGTCAAAACGGTGTAAAATAAATTGGTAATGGTCGATCGAAGAATCATAGATTTATATCCTAAGCTACATTATATTATTAAACATATAAATGGTTGCAACGTCTTATATTTTTGTAAAAACTATTTGAACGTTTTCGTTTTGTGCGATTTTAGCAGACAGGATACCGCACAACACATTGCGAAAATTCCGTACGCTTTCGTACTGATATACGTACAAAAAAATTTCCCTATGTGCATCGTATAAAGCATTACGTTTATTGCTGGTTCATTGTAGTTACTTAAGTAACTGTAAAATTAGCCTAAGAATACGCGATATTTTCGCAAAATATCCGCCACCACATCATTGCCATCAAAGATTATATTTCGCCTATTCTTAGGCTTTATATATTCACTGAATTTCAACCTTGGTTTTGGTTTTCATTTTTTGTTGTTAAAAACTATTTGTTTCAAATTGATCAGCACATCCCTATGCCTTGTGACGTTTTGTTGCAGCCTTAATTTATTACTACTATATTTGTCGTTTTTTTTCGTAAGTTTTCCATGCACGTGTGCGCGCGTGTGTGTATGTGTGTCTGAATGAGCAAAGTCCTTAAAAAGCGTGACTTGCTATTTGGTTGTCTCAGTTGTACACGCCACGCGAAATTGCTTCCCGATTTCGCGTATGCCATTTACACGTCAGAATTCGAACATAAGTATTACGAAATGAGGCATTGCACAAAGCATAACACATTGGATTGATGGTTGAATTGATATAACACAGAGCATAGAAGAAATCCCACAATTCTTGTGGAATACATTTTGTACATGCGGTCAATGGTTTTAATAGCACCAAAATATTGTACGGCGTCCATGTTATAATGAAACTAAGTAAAATTGCTGACAGGGTTTTCGCTGCCTTTGTTTCTTGCCGTTTTTCTTGGGATTTTTTCTTCTTTTTTGCGGCTCGCGGCACTGGATTCGGTTTGGCCAAATTTTTGGTTATTATTTTTGCATTTAAGGGTATACGAATGTCCGGCGCATGTGACAACCTTCGATTGAGCGGCAAACCGGAATTGAGCTTCACACTACAAAGAATAATGATAAAAAAATATTATAATATTAATCCATTTTTTTCATAATTTTATTAAACATTTTAAAAATAGCCTGTGGATCCATTTTTTTTAATGGATTTTATGGATATAACGTTTCAACAATAAAACTGTCGTGAAAAAAAGCGGGAAAAAAGTGCAAAAAAATGACTAGACAAAATAAAAAGTACGGTGCATATTGACACTTGTCAAACTCTGGGACAAAGAATACTTTGTGTTCGGGGTAAAAAGAAACAAATGTCTGCCTTTTTTTGCTCAACAACAAACAAAAAATTGTGTTAAAGCGATGACATACACAAGAATACAATATTTCGCAAAGTTTTTGTTTTGTTCTTATTTCGACAAAAACTTTTACTAAACATATTTTACTCTAATTTATTTACGCTCTCATACAATTTGTTGTTGGACATTTTGTACACAAGCATCAAGTATTTTCTTTCTCTTTATACTTTTTGAATATTTCTTCTGCTTGTTTATGCTATGTGCTATGGAACATTTTTTGCGATTTAGATGGTAATCAAATAGTTATAAAAGTTTGAAACACCATCGAATTGATTGGATATTGAGGATATTTTAACGGTTTTTTTAATAACTTACCCATCTAAATTGAGCTTAACATCGCCCAGATCTGAGTCTCGTGTCGGTAGTGGTCGTCTCGGTGGATGCGTCAGTGCTAACGGTACATCATCCTGAATCATTTTAATGGATGGTGCATGCTCATTACCATGACCACCATCACCCGGTGGTAATCGTATTACAATTGTGTATACGGAATCCTGGCTCACAGATCGTCCACCAAGACGGTGAGTGTTCAACGGTAATGATCGTGAATCTCTTGGACCTGACAATTCAAGTAACATTTGGTTGAATGAAATGTGCACAAGTATGAAATTAACAAACCTGGAAATGCATTTTCTTGCAATTGTGTTAATGGTGCGAGTGGTGGACGTGCTGGCGTTGGTGAAACATCCGGTATAATGCTCACCAATCCTGGCCGATTGGTTGTGTATGGATCACGAATCACATTCATTGATGTACATCTGAACCATACATCGAAAGAAATGAAATAAAAACAAATATTTGTCTTGATTGAGCTTCATTATGTTTGGTAAAAGTGTAGAATTGACAAAATTTGTCTGTCCGACCGTCCGATTTTTTTTTGGGCGGACGGACATTCTTCAAAATATTGGAAGTCGATTCGACGGACACAACGAACGCTCATTTCGAAATTAGAATAACAATATTTTTAGGACGAATGGATAAAATTCTTCAATAGAATATCCCCAATTGATCGTGACGGATATGAATTTTCTCCGTCGGTTAATGATTTTATCTTCTGTCCGTCCCATTGATCAATTTTACCCGTTCATCCTAAAAATATTGTCCTAATTTTCAAACGGACGTCCGATGTCTGTACTCGTCCGTCTTACTTTTCAAATAAAAATAAAAATTGAAAAATGTCCGTTAGACACCCTTAATGTTTGGGCATCGCAAAAAAGAAGTCGTATGTTTTTGTTTGATTTTCGAGAGGAAATTCAACTAATGGTTTGTACTACCTGGAAACGGAGCTTTGTATAGGAGTTTCTATTGACACAGGTGTATTGTATCTGATTTGGGGGGAAAAAAGAAAAAAAAATGCTTCTGGATAATGATTTTGTTGCTTTTAGGTTTTCTAATAATAATATTAAACCATACCCATAGTCAGATGGATCTTCAGCTTCATAACCATAGTCATCCGAATCATCACGTCCTGTCAATGAACAAGACAAGTGTTATTCATACCAAATGTACAAATTTTGTAAAAAATAAAATAAAAATTATCAACTCACCTGAATGCCACCAAGCGATGCACCATTCTTTGATACCGCCATAGCATTTGTGCGATCCGGGCGGACCACCAGCCGTTGCTGTCTGTAAACAAAACACAAATTCCACGCTGTTTAATTGTTTAAAGAGGAAAAATCAAATGGTAACTTACACTTGATCGACGTGTAAATCCCGAATCTGATAATACCGGATTGGTCATGTACATACTTTCAGCATCTGCCGATGATTCAGAACGTGGCCTTCGCCAACTGTATGCATCACATTCGCTCGACGCAATTTGTGTTATCATTCCCGAATGATTGACAGCCGTTGTTTCATCGCTACAATGGTGAAAACTATTATAGCGTTTTAATGATTGCGTGCAATTGAATGCAAATTATGCAATTGATAAATGCAATGTATTACATGAATGTAACAAACCAACCTTGAATTTGATCGTTTTGATGAATCTTTTTTGCCAGCTTGTAAGTTGGGCAAATCCTTCTGACGCTTCTTTGTTTCGCGCCAAATGCGATAGTAAAGGTAACACATGCCAGTGACAGGTACATAAAATGCTGCAATCGCCGTACCAAATGTAATATAATGATTCGTTTCGATGAATTGAATGTAACATTCATATTGGGGTACGGTTCGTTTTCCCTCAATATATGGCCAACTATAAATCCATGGTGGCCACAATAACAAGCTAATGCCCCATGCGGCACCTATCATAAATGCAGCACGACTCTTTGTACGTTTTGCTCGATACGTTAACGGTCGTGTCACACTAAAATATCGATCGAAACTAATAATTAACAGATTTAGAACCGATGCATTCGATGCTAGATAGTCTAGTGCTAACCACGTATCACACACATATGGACCTAATGGCCAATAACCTAAAATTTATTAAAATCATTATTAATTATTGGTCACTTTCATGATGTATTTAATTTTGAGCAACTGAACGAAAAAAAAAAATGAAACCACGTTTCGTCATACTGACCTAGTAGCGTTGTAACTGTAAATAATGGCATTGATATTAAGCCAATGGCAAAATCGGCGATTGCCAATGAGAAGAGAAAATAATTGCTAATCGTTTTCAATTGTTTATCAATTTTGATCGAAATCATCACCATCACATTGCCAGCCACCGTTAAAATACTTAACACCGTTGCAATGATTGCTAATACAACTGTTTGTGGTATGGAATATCGCAGTCCAGGTGGTTCGTCTAGAGTGGCATTATTTTTTACTTGAATATCACTTGCATATGTGCTGCTTATTAGAGTTGTGTTGACCGTAAATTCGGTTATAAGCGTTGTACTGGTGGTTGTTATCAAGGAAATCGTATCCATTGTGGTCGACGTTGAATGCAAAGCCGCTAAGTTGAAAAACACAAAGTGAGAAGAAAAAAACACATATTTTTTTGTTAGGCCAGTCTATTACAAACACAAATATTTTGCACATTTTATTTGAAATGCAGAAAGGAATGTTTAGTTGAAAAGAAAAAACAAAAGAATCTTTATGAGACGTGAAAAAGTAGTGGAAAAAATGAGGGTCAAATAATGCCTCTCAAAAATTTGCACTCTGTGCCACTACTTTGTACAAAGAAAAAAAAATGAAAATAATATATTCGAAGAACAAAAGGAAATACCATTTTCAATCTCATACTTTCGCATTATACAAAAAAAGAAAGAAATAAACTAGCATATAACGCATTTACACAAAATTCGTTCATTCATAAATTCTACTACAAAGGAATTGCCATCCAGCTTTAGCATAAAAAGATGACAAAAAAGACACAAATTAAAACAAACAAGTTGAATGCACATTTAATGCTACAAATGAATGCATACACATAAAAAAGCGCGAAATGTTTCATGCAACTAGTTGAAGTTCCATACAAACTCTTCTAACCAATAAAACTCGAATTCTTACCCATCATTATGCTGCGTCAAATTTCTTTTTCAAAATGAATGGTTTTGGTCTAGAGAATGTATGAAAAGTAAATAGGTTTCATTTTCCGAAGAATTTTTGTAGGTACACTTCCAAATTAAATGTTCTACACTACACATTCTCAACAGTTAATTAGAAGCATTCATTTTGAAAAATTTGTTCGCGCCAAAATTATGCGTACGCAGCCCAAAACACAGCCATTTTAATATTCAACATTTCGTTAATTCAAAAATAAGATTTTTCATTCCCGTTCATTTGAATCGAGTGTATTAACGTCTTGCTTTAAAAATGTTTTGCCCAATTTTTCTGTGTGTTCAGTGCAATGGCAATGCTCAGCAAATTTCAGAAAAAATAGATGAGAATGTTGAATGTTGTCGACTTCGTACGACAACAACAAAACCATACAATAAAGAAATAACCATGTGACTACTAGTTATCCACTTTGGCACAAGAATGCGTTTACAAACAGAAAAGCTGACGGAACGGGGGGAAAAAAAGCACAAAGACTAGTGATTTAAACATCATTATTATTACTTGTTCCTGTTTTTTGCTCAAATCATTCATATTTTTTTACCACTGTATTCCGTTTTTCCTCATTTTTCTGTCCTTCGACTCTCTCTTTTAGTGTTTTTAATATTTGTCACGTTTATTTTTTTTTGTTGTCAAATAGCAACATATGATTGCAATACGAGGCTGTGAACTTCGCAGATGAAACGAATGCAATATTAAAACTAACCAAAATGAAAGCAATTTTCATACTGCGAACCATATGGTCGTCTAGAGATGTTGCCAACAGGGTTTTCTTTTGATTTTTGAATTCTATGTTGCCAAAGCATATTTTATACTTTCATCCGTTGGTTTAAAAATGTCATTTCAATTAGAAAAGTCGACCTATTCATTTGAATGTTTGAATTTAATGATTGTGACTTTTATGTCAATTTTTATTGATTTGCAAACGATATTTCGAGAGCATATGCTATATGAATTGATAAACAATAAAACATTCTATGAATCAATTCGAATTCTTTTCACAATATCCACATTGCACTTGTATAAATAAACAATCAATTTTATTTTCGACTAGATTTTCGCACTTGAACATTTCTTATCGTCAGGCTCTTACAATGTTCATATTGACTGATAACTTGTAGAAAGACTACTGAAAGTGTTTGGTGCTAGTGAATGTGGCAGGCTCGATTCATTCAGATTTTTATTTTTAAGATTTCACAAGATTAAATTGAGTACTTGAAATTGAATGTCGGAAAGATACGTTAGACCAAATTAACATATTCATTCACGAATTGAATGTTAGTTCCACTGAAATTGCATAATGTTTTTTGCAATTTGCCTGATTATAACTAACTACATTCATTAACTATGCACAATTATTGAAATGGTTTGAATCGAGCGATTGTTGTCAGTTACAATGAATTCATACTGAATTTTGAACATCGTACATTGCTATCGCCAAAATTCGCCGTCAAAACCGATTCAGATACTGTCAATTCAAACAATTTCAAACTGAATTACGAACATAGATTCAAACGAATCGGCAACGTGCACACGCAAAACAAACACCACCAACAACAACAAAAGATAATACAAAAATGCAAATCGTCGTTATGAAAGTACATTCTTTCGGTTTTTTGGAATATTTATTGATATGTGTTATTGATGATTATTGGTCAAATCACAGGCCATCTGCTCAAGTAACTGAATCAATATTTATTCAGTGTTTTTGCTTCTCATTTCATTTCGATGTTACTTTTATAATTTAATTTAATTTTCAATGAACAATTTCGATTTGGTCGATGTTTTCGGATGCCAGAAATGCACGTCTTTTCAACTTGAATTTATGTTTGTTTGTGTATCCGCGAACAAATTGCGTTCCATTTATCTTGTTTGTGAAGAGTTTAAAAAGTTGATTAATTTTTCAGGCCATCAAACATTGATTGTGCTTTGAATGTTCAATTTATTCATTTGATACCACACAAAAAAATGTGTACTGAACTTTTGTTTAAATTAATTAAAAAAAATGCTCGACCAATTATAGCATTCATTACAAATTCAACGGAAAACCTCAACAGACCAAGTCATGCAGACCAACTTTGATCACTCTTTTCTATAATAATGCTTCAGCTCATTTAATAATTCAATGAATACGAATATATGCAATGAACATTTCGGACATCATGTTACAATTTATATTTGTATATTATCCATTCGTTGCAGTTTTATTTTTCACACGGTTTGCACCGTTCTCTTTCCGACCCCGCGATACTTGCATTGGGTGCTACTATTTTCACTTCATAAGCATGAGTTTTTGCGAATTGGATATTCAATTTAATAAATGAATTAAATTATTTCTAAAGCCATATCAAAGCGGTAATTTTGTCTGATATGACACACTTGCACATTATGTTCTCATATCCGGTAGTTGCAACAAATGAACAAGCAAGCAAGCATGCAGAGAAGAAAAAACAACAAAAAAGGAACAGTAATTTCGAGAGATATTTCAAGTTTTACCATTGTGCAAGTCATTTTGCAGCAAATTCAATGCAATTTTCAAACCTAGTGCAGCCAAATAACGAAATAAACAAAATTAATCTGTATTTTCACTTAATTTGAAATGACTTGGCTCGGCACATATAGCTCGGATGCAGTCGCTTCCCATACACACACACACGAATTGAAAATAATGCTATTTGTTGTTCTTTTTATGAGGCATACAAATGGTTCGTATAACATAGATAAAGTGAAATTAATTGAAAACGAAATAAGGCCTAATGGATGGCCAGCAGCTGATTTACCAGCTCCATGGATTGAATAACAATGCAAAAGTAGTAAAATTTTAAAATCGTTGATGCGAACAACTGGTTGCACTTGCAACGATAACACCCTACTCGCAAAACGATCGGAACATTAGGGAAATAATTCCACACAAATAACATTTTGCCAAACTTATTCCAATCGAATGTACTGAATGCAAATGTTTTAAATTCCATTCAAATGTCGGTGTAGATTTTTTCAATTTTTTTTTTCTCCAAAGGAGTTGGTGAGATTTATATGGTTGTCTCTTCTACTCGCATTAAAATGCATATTTAAATTTGACATTAGACTCACATTTTCACCAACTCCATTCCATTTCATTGCGTTTCAATAATGAATTTGAACGATTTGTCTGTAGGGCGAGCAAAAATATAAATTAAAATGCATCAATTTTTGTCTTGATAAAAGCAAAGGCCACTTTGAATACCCTTTTGAAATTGCATATTCATCGAAACAATTTCTTCGTAAATGAACCGCTTAACATCTAATGTTGGGGCATTTCAACAAATTTTCTCTCTATGTCGCTATTGTTAAATGATTTGAAATCCCGGGTGATTCATGTGATAATTGAATAAGCTAGAATAAAAATCCGATTTGAAATTGAAATCTTTTAACGTAGTCAATATGTATAACAACAACGCAATATTTGTGAAGCTACTAATTAATTTTGATTGATTTTCCTCGTCATTTTTATTGAAGGCATAAATCATATCGTATGATATTTGCGTCATGATTTGATTTTTGTCACATTCGTTGAAGATTTGTGTTAAAAAAATTCAAATGTGGTTATTAGTATATTTCAATATATTTTTGTTGAAATCGAATGGTACATACATTTTTTTATTCATATTGTAAACTGGTATTTTGAATATAGAAATTGGCGGTATTGAATCTCAGCTGTTTTGGCAGTTTTGGCACATCTCATTAAATTAATTTCAAAAAAAAGATTAAAAAAAAACAAGTCAATTTTGGATTATATTGATCCGGTTATAGTACACGGATTCTATATGAATTGGTGAATAACGCATAATAACAATGTGTGAATAGAATCAGGAAAGAAAAGCTACGAGAAAAATACTGAAAACTGAAGCAAATGGTCCAAATCGTAAAATTGGACAGAAAAAGGTTATGAACGAAGTGCGGAAACTTAAAAAATGACGCCCGGTACAGTGCTTTTGAGTGGAAATTTTAGTTGGCGTGATTTGGGGTCATTTAATATCTGTCATCGTTGTTATTAGGCAAATATATAAATACAAATAAAAATGTTTCAATTGTCTATTAAAATCAATTTCCATCCTGAATGCACTTATGATACAGCATATTCATTCCGACAATTTGTGGACGTGTCAACTAATACTTTTAAGAATATCTATTTATTTCACACTCCGTCTCTCTCTCTCTCGCTCTGTATCGCTGCTTAAAGAATAATTAAGTTATCATGAAATTAGTTTGCCGAAACAAATACTTCTAAACTCTAAATCGTATCCAAGGGGGAAAGTACTAAATCATTTCAATACCAGTAATGCGATCTAGTACAAAAAAAACCCACGTAATACCGAAAAATACCAAGCTATATTGAAAAATATGATGCAGTAC